CTGGCTCTACCTAAGGGTACTGAAGGAAATTTAGGAGATAAAGACTAATATCTGAACAGGTTAACCTGTGTGAAACTGTTAGCTTGAGCCGTATTTAATTCATGTCCTTATTAGCTAAATGTAGCTTCATGCAGAGCCTAAACCACCAGCAATTCATGGTCACTAATACTGCACTAAAGCAAGTTTAGGGGATAAAGACTCAAATCTGAGCAAGTGCTGGAGTGACAAAGATGGAATCTTTCAGATTATTAATGTTACAGTGGGGGTTTTCTTTTTGCTCTGCCTTGTCTGTTCTAACAATGAGGGAGGTTTTGAGGCTTAAGGACCATCCTTTTTTAGTACTTTCTTAGGTGCAACAATAATGCATAAAAATAGTAAACAATTTATTATTCAACATGGGTGATATTTTTTAATTAAAGACTTTAGGGGAACTTTAAAGACGCTAGTGGTGCTAGGCTTCTAATAACAGCAGGGCATTTAATGAATGCACTTCACAGAAGCTGTGGAATATCTACTTTAGTTAATCTGTCTGAGGAAATATTGAACTCAGGAGTGCTCAGGTTGCTTTACTCTGCTGGTTTATGGTGCTAATGTAGATGAAACAATAGGCCTGTGTGGGATTTCCCATTGATCATGTTATAGATAGCGTGTAAGTCATGAGAAGAAGACAGACTGGTCAAGCAGCTCTTGGGAGGCCTTGCTGTAACTCTGAGCTTTAGTAGGAGTCAACACGCTGTATTGATTATGTGTGTGTGTGTGTGTGTGTGTGTGTGTGTGTGTGTGTTTGTGTGTGTGTGTGTGTGTGTGTGTGTGTGCGTGCGCGCGAAGGCTGTAGAACAGAGAGTTTCTCCCTCCGCACACTCCTCCAGTCACGCCAGCAGTGTAGCCTGTCTCACGCTTGAAGCGTGTCTGACAGCTGCCATATCTGAAATGGAAACACCTTCTCTTCTCATCGATCTTTCACACTGTAGCTGTCACCCCGTCACGCCTGACTGGCCGCTCAGCCTTCTGTCCCCTGCACCGCTGACCTGTCTGATACACCTCACCTAACCTATACACTCACAGTGTCCTTTTTTTCTTTACTTTATTTACTTTCTTTCTCTCCCGGATTTAGTTTCTACATTCTCTTGTTTGTTGCTTTTGCTTCATTTGTTTATTTCTCTCTCTCTTGTTTGTTCCCTCTTTATTATTTTAATTGCTTCTTTTTATCTTATTTTTCCTCTTGATTACTAGTTTGTTTTCTTTTTGCATTGTTGTCATTTCTTTGCCTTGTTGGTTTGTTTTCTGTTCCTTCTGGTTGTTTGTTGCTTTCTTTTATTTGTTTATTTCTCTTTCTCTCCAGTTTGATGCCTTTTCTTGTCTCTTAATAGTTTCTTGCTCATTTTTACTTTCTTTTTCTTTTTTTGCTTGTATTTGTTATGTATTTGTTTTCTATTCTTTTTCTTTTGTTTGTTTATTTCTCCTTTGTTGTTTTCTTTCATTTATTCGTTTTTTTGCACTAATTTTTTGGTGTTTTTGGTTTGTTTCTCTTTTGTGTTATTGCTTTACTTTTTGTCCTTCACTTACTTCCTGTCTTGTTATCTTCACTCCATCTCTTTCCTTGCTGCAGTATTTTATGACTCATGCTGCATTCTATCTTTTTTTTTTTATTATTTATTTTTTTTTATTTTGCAGTAAAGCATAAGATGACGAGAGGAAAAATCCATAGTTTTTCTTTTTTCTTTTGCTTTTGGCCTTGACAGCCCTATCGCTCTGCTCCCTCGTCTCTGTTGCAATTTGTCTGTATTTCTCAGTAAATCTAAAGCTCCTGACCACGGGGTGCATAAGGGACAATAGCATGAATAAACCACGGCATGCGATTTAGCCAAGCCACCTTGAGTGGGCCGAGCTTCACCACAGAAGCCTTCAGCCTTTAATCTAGGACCTGTCAGCAGAGTGGGGGATGACGAGGGTCTGCAGGGACTTTACCTAACCAGTGCCTGTTTATTACACATTGCTCTGTGACAGTACAGAAGCCATTTTAAAGCACTTTTTTATTGTTGTTGAGAAAACAGCACCAACCTGTGGTGAAAAAGTGCATTGCACATAGAGCCCTCTCTTTCAGGGTGCAGTTAAGTTGCATTCAGGTGGTCATTGGCAGGTTGTGCATACTGGATGGTTAACTACTAAATGCAGATTGTTTCAAATTTGCACTCACTGCACAAAAAGAAAAATGCTTGGGGAGTACGTACTTAACCTGCTTTTCTTTGTTATATTAAAAATATACTAATAAATAAGTAAATGAATGAAACAATGAATGAATGAAGCATGATGGATCATGTTTACTTTTTCTCATTCAAAGCCAAATGGTTAAAGTGTAGTGTCACATTATCTAGAATCCTGAGTTTCCTGCTTGGAAATATGGCTTTGTCAGCTGTTCAAGTCCACGTTCAAGTAATGCTGTGGGTCCATGGATGGATGAATGATCCGTGGATGGACAGATGGTTCAATTAATAGAATGGGTGGATGGGTGGATGGGATGGATGGGATGGATGAGATGGATGGATGGATGGATGGATTTATGAATGGATGGATGGGTCCATGGATGGATGAAAGAGTAGGTCCATGGATGGATGGATGAAAGAATAGGCCCATGGATGGATGAATGAAAGAATAGGTCCATGTATGGATGGATTAATGAATGAATGGGCCCATGGATGGGTGGATGGGTGGATGAATGAATGGGTCCATGAATGAATGGATGAATGAATGAATGAATGGATCTATGGATGGATGAATGGATGAATGAATGAATGAATGGATCCATGGATGGATGAATGGGTCCGTGGATAGATTAATAAATGGATAGATGAATGAATGGGTCCACGGATGGAAGGATAAATTAAATAAAGAATGGATAAATAAAGAGTGGATCAGTGTATGGGTAAATCTAAGAATGAAGTGTGAAGTAACTGGTGGACGAGTCCATAGATGGATGGATCTGAAAATTTGAACAGAAGCTATAAAAAATAAATCCAGTTATAAACACATGCTACACATGAGGCTTATGATTTTAGTGTAGGCTCCAGTGCAGCTGGTGTAGTGTTTTCTCTTTAGGTTGCTCGTGCTAATAAAGGTTACGCCCATCATTATGTGTTCATTAGCTGATCTTTATTACCAAACTTCCGCTGCACATCAAACTGCTCCCTGTGGGCTCAGTGATTTTTAACTGCCCATTGTTGAGTGATAATGAAAACATGGGTAATTATCAGGCTTCACAGCAGACCACGCCTTGATAAGCCTCTGTGCTTGAGTGACCAGAAGAGATTCAGACGCAAGTGTCAGATTGTCAGTTTCTTCTTAGCCTCTCTGGTGGAGTCATTAACTTCCTCCTTTCTGGATGAGTCTGCCATTGATCCCAGGCGATGTGCACCACCGTGTGTGTATGTGTGTGAAGGGCTTTCCTCATTACAGCACGCCTTCCTTGCCCAGGGAGAGCGAGCCGATACGATTGAAGCAGGTTATAAGGCATGCGGCTAGTGGGGAGTCCCCTTGCCCCATTGTGGGGAAATTGCATTGGAGTGCTGGAGCACCTGGATGTGTTGTAGTAATGAGTTCTGTAATGGTGCTGACATTTCCGTCAGGTGAAAACTCCTGCTGCGCAGGGAAGTGAGGGAAGAGTGCGAGAGCCTTCATGCATTTTCCAAACAGGGTGGTGCGAGCTGAAATATTTATCAGAAGGGAAGCTGTTTATGTAAACATTATTCTTACCCTTTTTGACCCACTGTATAGAATAAAAGTATATTTGCACATACAATTCTGTGCAAAAGTCATATTTCCAGTCAAAATGGTCATTAAGTACACATTTACATTGCATAAATATTTCAGCATGAGGGAAAAATTATATATTTAACAGAAAATTAAAAGAAAACATTTTAACAGAACATTACACTGAAACCTCAACAACTACATGTAATATGGAAATTTGTCAATACTAACTTTATTACTGCTTCCATTCTTTTTGAGAGACTTGCTTTCAATTTAGGGATATTTTCAGTCTTAGAAGTTGGTTACATGGAATTACTTGGATCATGAGATTGTTAGGAGTCCCATTTTCTCTATATATGAGAAGACCAATTTCCTCTATATCTTTTAATCCTTTTCTGATTTCCAGTTTTGGAAACTTATTTTGACTTTCCTTATGCAAGTGGCTTATCTCATATCTGATCTTCTCAGAAATATCTCCTGAAAAATAAATAACTTAATGTCTGTTTTGACTGTAAGTTAAACAGATGAAGGGTGGTCACTGACGTTTTCACAATACTTATCTTCAGTTATACAGTGGCTTGCACTTCACAGAAGACATTCCTTGCATTCTTTCACACGGACACGCATTCGCGAATGAAGTATTTAGTGTAAAATGTGCTTCCTGCAGTGCACAGTAGCCGTGTAATTGTGAAATTGTGTTGTCGGAGTCATGCGTCTACTAGGAACTCCGGGTCGAAGCAGTTTTTCTCTATGGGAAACATGATGGGTGTTTTTGAAAATTGCTATTCGCACCATGTGGTAAACAAAGATGTTCCAAAACTGACATGTTTTGCCCTGTGTACACTTTCCCCCTGTATTTCATTAGATCCTTTGTTTCCTGTAACATAAAATGTGGGTTGCCAAAGCAGCTTAACTGCCACATTTGGCAAAGCTTGATAGTGTAAGTGTGGTATTTTGAAGTTGCCACTCTTATGATGTCAATATGCAGTATTATGTATTTTGACTTCTTATCAACTGCATAATGCATAAGGTTCCAGTATATCTGAAGGAAAACTAGGAAAAACTTAAGTTCGGAATATTTTTGGTTTACCACAGGACATGATGATAGTTTTTCCAACAGAGTTTCTTATTTGTGCATGCCACCATTCTATTGATTCACAAGGTCATTGATATGCAATACCAGTCCATATCATGTAATGTTACTGTATGGGCTCTGTTCTAACTGTGGGTTTTTCATTTCTGTCCTTTTCCAGTATGTGGAGACCATCAGCAGTAAGCAGAGTGAGCTGGACACCTTTATTGCTGAGGGCTACAAGACGGCTCTGTCGGAGGAGCGCAGGAGATATTGCTTCCTGGTGGACCGCCAGTGCGCCGTAGCCAAGAACAGCAGCGCCTACCATGGCAAGGTGAGAAAGAGAGAGAGATGGGGACAGGTGGGGAGGAAGCCTCTCTCGCCCAGAATGCCATAACGATGCTGCTAACAAATCCTCCAATGCAACTTGAAGGCCATTCGGCAGAATATTAGCAAGCAGTTGCCATGGCAATTCCCCGAGCTTACTCCTGCCACTGTCTGCTTGGAGCTTCGTTTGTCTGCGCCCATCACAGAAGCAAAGGAGCGTTGGTGGGAGATGTTTATTTTTCAGAATCACCTGTTTTTTTTTGTTTTTTTTTTTTTCCTTCAGTATTTTGGTGTACAGTGTTAGTGCTTGTATCCGAAAAAAGCTCATTTTGGGTGAAAAAATAGTCTTTTGTTCCTTTTAAAACCCTTTGATATGCAAACATATCAAGCATATGTTTAAAAGAAACTTCAGCAGTTAATCTTGTAATACTGTCCACCTCAGTTTGCCTGTTTGTTGTTTGTGCTTTTCAGTCCAGCAGCATGATTAATTAGGTAAGGGAGTAAACAAAGGGGTTTAAGCTACCTCCACCCGGTCATTACACAATGGCTGTCCTTCAGGCTGCACTGCAATACTGCAGTATGCAATTAGGTAGCCTAGCTATATTGTCGCTATATTGTTGCATACAATGTATATATAAAACAAAGACCTGTTTACCTTGTGATTTAATTACTTAAAGCAGTACACTGTGATTTTTAGCCCTGTTTAAATCCTGATTTGACCTTTCCTACAGATTTTACTGGAACTGTATTTCCAGGTCAGGAGTTATTAAGAGTGTGAGAGGGAAAACAAACCAATCTTCAGCCTTCTGATCTAACTCCAGCATTGTTTTTTATTGTCGATCTAACTTATGAAAATATCATTTAATAATAGAAAAGGATGTGTGTTGTGTGTGTATATATGTATATTCAGTTAACTTTAGGTGGGAATTCTGAATATATTTTAGAGAGGAAGGGACAGAGAATAACCTCACTATATTTTTTTTTCATATTTTAATAATAATAATAGGAAGAAGAAGAACAATGATAAGTAATTTTTTTGACAATATATTATTTGATGTTATATTTTTACAAAATGTATTTTAAAATGCAATATAATATGTATAATATGCGTATATATTGTGTGTATTGTGTGTAATGGAGGATAATTTCACCCCTTTCTTCTTTTTATTTTCAACCTTAATCTAGTCTAAGTATTGACTCAGACTCAACAAAGTCTTGGTCTTGCTTCTAGTGGTCTTTATTATCTTACCCATAATCCTCTTCTCTGCGGCTCAACACAGATGCGTTTGCGGTCGTGTTTGCAGAAGTATAAATCAGCCTTGACTTGGTTTTGTGCCATAAAATATGCGCAGTTCAGTGACAAAGTTGCAAAGCATTGCTAAAATAATACTGTTGATCAAAACTGTTGACAGTGTGATAATGTTGTCAAATCGCCCAGTGATTATATTCCATACAAGCCCATGCAGCAAAGAGCGTGTACTGCTGCCACAGCTATTACCCGCTGTAACTCAGTGGAATGGCTTCTGAAATATCCTGTCATCAAACACTCAGACCGCAAAGGGCCATTATTAAGATCTGCAGGTGGTCAGGCTTCATATACAATCTACTGAAATGCGCCTCTCTGTGAGCATGCGAGTGTGTGTGTGTTTATGCAGTGCTGTGTGAGTCTTTTTCTTGCTGCTTTGCTGCAGTAAGCTGTGATAATGGGATGATGCCTGGTTTTTGTGTGTAGTCTGCTGGTTGTGAGTGTGGGTGAGGTAGAGAGAGAGAGAGAGATGCCCTCCATTTTCACCAACAGCCAGTCCAGTAGCAGTACAGGGGCGTGTGTGGGAAGAGTTCAGAGAGGGTGCTGCTGAAGCGCTCTCTCTCTCTCTCTCTCTCTCTCTCTCTCTCTCTCTCTCTCTCTCTCTCTCTCTCTCTCTCTCTCTCTCTCTCTCTCTCTCTCTCTCTCTCTCTCTCTCTCTCTCTCTGTTGGAGAGTGTGTGTGTATGAGTCACTGTGAGAGGAGTGGGTGGATGGTACAGAGGCAGGCTCCTCACCCACGCTGCAGTGTGTTGGAATAGAGGACGGAAAGGTGAGAGAAAGCTGCCCGTCGTGATTACAGAGAGAGAGAACAGCTCCTGCAGGAGCAAATCTTTCAGTTACGTAAATGGAATTACATGTTTAATGGATCACTGACGGAAATAAAAAGCCTTAAGAAAGTTTGAACAATGACTGATCAAAAAAAGCAAAGTTTGTGGTTATGATCAGACATTACATCACTGTTATGAACATGAAAAGGTCTCTCTCTCTCGTGCTCTCTCTCTCTCTCTCTCTCTCTCTCGCTCACTTTTCACTTGCTTTCTTTCTTTCTTTATTTATTCTCTCCAGCATCCCCTGATTTTTTGTCTCTCTCCATCTTTTTTCTTTCTGTATTTTCATTTTCTTTCTTTCTTTCTTTTTCTTTTTCTTTTTCTTCTTCTTTCTTTCTTTCTTTCTTTCTCTCTTTCTTTCTTTCTTTATTTCCCTACAGCATCCCATGATTCCTTCTCTCTCTCATGTTTTCTTTGTTTTTTCTGTTTTCTTTCTTTCTTTCTTTCTTTCTTTCTTTCTTTCTTTCCAGCATCCCCATGATTCACCCCCTCTATCCTCTTTCTTTCTTTCTTTCTTTCTTTCTCTTTCTTTTTCCCCTCCAGCATGCCTGTGACCCCCCCCCCCATGTGTGTATGAACTCTGTGTTCACATTAGCAGGTGACAGAGCAACAGGAGATCAGTCATTTCCTATGGAAGTAGGCGACTTGTAGCTGCGCTTTAGCAATCAGTGAAATCGTCACAGGGCAGCAAGCAACAAGTCAAGTTGAGATTTTCTGAACTTTATGGCAGAGAAGTGATGTAGGATCAGACATAGACATGGGTTGTCTAAGCTCCCCAGTCTTTACTCTCTGAGCTGTTTCTTCCTACTGCCAGTTTGTTACTTTTCCCAGTAGTGTCACACCAGCACAGAAGAGAAACCTGTACAAACCTGTATAAATGTATAACTGCAGTTCATATTTTGCACAAAGTAGCATATGTAGTAGACTCTTTTTACATTTTCTTGTCAGGAGCTAGACCATATACACACACTAATGAAACAGCTAAGAATATATTTGGGGCTAAAAGGTCTTTTTGCCCAGTGTGTTGGAGGGACTTCTTACCCCAAATGTGTAACCTTATGCTTTCACTTCAAGAGAAAAAGAAATCTTTTTTCCCCAGAAAGTTTCCAATAATAAATCCTAGGAACAGTCATTCAAATGAAATTTCAGAATTAATGTGACTGTAAGCATTAAGTAAATGGGTTGAGATTATCTTTTGTCCAGAGAGAAAATAAGAAGGGAGTGTTACTTTGTGGGGCTGCCCCACCCTCACCCCCTGATTTACCCTGCTTAAAATGTTTCTTTGCTGTTCTGTGTGTCTGTGTAGGGCAAGGACCTGCTCACCCAGAAGATTCCAGTGTGGCAGCAGGCCTGCTCTGACCCCAACAAACTCCCAGAGAGGGCCATGCTTTTGGTCCAGCAGATGGCATCCGGGTCGAGCACCCTTCTGTCCAGCCCCCTGCACTCTTCCAAGGGCAACCTGGTCATCTCTGATCCCATCCCTGGAGCGCAGCCCCTTCCCGTGCCCCCTGAGCTGGCCCCCTTCATAGGCGGCGGTCTGGGTCACCAGGCGGTGAGCACCACCTACTGACTCTCTATTTCATACTGACGCATTATCACAAGGATTTAACTGACCTACTCATGTTCTGCCCACAAATGCATTCTTTCATGGCAACTGTTGTGAGGTTGAACCAGAGAATATGTAGTGAGGAGAATTGCCATTCAGTAATGTCTTCCAGGTTTGTCAAAGCTAGAGGGCATTCCAGTACAAGTCCTAAATTAATGAGTTCCTGTGTTCATTCACCATATTGACTGTAGCTGCATCACAAAAAAAAGAACAAATCAGGCCAAATTAAGGGCCAGTCTTGTTTCAGCTGTGCCAGAGGGCGCCCGATTCATTGGCCATGTTATGTAGTCTAATGGTGGGCATTAATTCATGGGCAAAATCACTTGACATGTTGGGTGTCTAAGGCTACCCAAGCAAAGATATAGTGATATATGCTGCTACTACGTTTAACTCCCGTGAATGTCCAAATTTGTCCAAATCAGATTAGAAGTAAATGAAGCTGGCAGGCTAACTTGTGGCTTTATTATTATTATAACTGCTAAAGCTAACTGTTATAAGGTAAACTGCCTGTTAATTCTCAGCTGCTCACTGTCAAGAATTCCAGCACCTTCCAGAGTCCAATTTAACCTCTTATTACAGCTTTCAAACCGGCAGTCTGTGCATTTTAACAAGAATTAGTCCACCGTGTCTGCAGGTTCATTCCCCTTATTTACATAAGCAGAGTTGACATGGGTTCGCACAAAGGCAGTTTATCCTCATTGTTTGCCTCCTGTGTGTGGGTGGCGATGTAAATAAGACCAGTAAGATGCTGAAGTCGCCACACAGTCGGATGCGCGTCTGACGCTGGGAGCGAATGTGCATTTCCATAGTGCAGTGCTAGCGTTGTTCTCAGCGAGTCAAGCTTTCAGAAACTCATTTCTGCAGACACTGCTATTGTGGAGAGGCTCGTCTAGGAGGCACACGCTCCGCGAATTTTAATATCCGAGTTGCTTCCAGTCACAATGGCTGTGCTCCTGTACCCTTAATCTGCTCTTACTCAACTGTTATTAATGCCAAAGTAATACTCTCCCATCAGAGAGCGTGCTCTGTGCTGGCCCATATATTACTTTAAACCCTGTTCTTACTGTCAGAGCCCTTTTTCTTTAGTGTCAAATACATACAGTATGGCAAAAAAAGACTTGGGTAAGCCAAGAAAATTGTTTCAGGCTATTTATCCGGACAGTGAATGTGTTTGTGCTTTTGAAAACCACTATATAACATGGGACAAATAAAAATAAACGTTAATACTGCATAGTAAAGGTGGGCGATACAGCGAAAATATAATATTGCAGTACTTCAAGAAATTTTCGTGATACACGGTGTCAGGATATTTCTTTTTTAGACATTTGATCAGTTGGAACCAAGGAATCATTTTCAAAAAAGTTTTATACGGAACCATATACAACACATTCTTCATCAATCTGAAGAGTGTTCATGGTTCTATATAGAACCATTGCCTTTACTCAAGAACCCTCGAAGAACGATCTTTGAGTGTGTGAATACTGAGTATATCCACAAAATCTTCAGAAAAGCATAAAAAATGCAGACCTAATTTATCACGATAACAATATATATTGTCATATTGCCAGCCCTACTGCATAGTAATATAACATTTCCAATGTTATATATTTCCAGCATTTCCAAAAAAAGGTTATTGATATATCCTCAGCTGGTTGGAAGAATGTAATGTTTGGCTCCATCTTTTCCTTGATGCATCCCATCTATTGCATGAATAACAGTATACTTGATTTAACTTAATGAAGTAAAGCAGAATCAGCTTTACTTTAAGTTAGTTAAATATTAGATGTTGAATATTGGATGGTAACCTAATGGAAATGAAGTGTACAGACACAATCACAATTTATTATATGAATGTTTTTTTATTCATTCTAGTATATTCTAGGCAATAACCTCATGTCAGATGCCAGTTCTGGCAGCACTGCAGTTTAGTAGTTTAGTTTAGTTTAGAGTTTAGCTGCAGTGGACAAAATGCACCAGCAAAGCAGCATTTTAAAACAGGCTACGAAAAAAGTACAATAATTTTGTAATGTTCTATTTATAAAAAATAAGCTTAAGTAGGAACAGGAGTACAAATCAATTGATAAAACTAAATCAATAAAATAAGGTGGATTGATGTCCAGTCAGCTATAACTGCTTGTTACCACTAGTGGTAGTAGTAGTGGGTGATGTACTGGTTCATCCTGTATACCAGTTAAAATTCTTTTAAAAGTATGAATTTTGTCATTACTATTATACCGGTATGCAAATAAATGATGATAATGCGACGTACAAAAAGTGCAAAAAACACTCTGATTCCCTCACTTCTTGTATAGTGAGTTACATCCTGAGGTAAGTTAGTCCAGTTGATTGTCAAAAGAGCAGGCATCAGATTGTCATGAGTTAATGATTTACCGGAAGGAAAAGCCAGTCTCTTGGGGTTTGCTGTTAGCAGTTAGCCTGGCATGGAGACTAGCCAGCTTTCCATGTGCACCACCTACAGTGCTCCTCACTCAGCCAACTGTTTCAGACAATGCCTCATTGTCCGCTGACAAGCTTAGAGGCTTAGTGGTTTCTCAGCTGAAACTGATAGTGTGAAAGGCTTGTAATATTTACTAAATTCCAGTAGTGCCTGACAGTTGTATACTCAAGTGTAAGAGACGCACTTGTGTGAAAAATGACTTTCGGACGTAAAATATACATTTGTGTGCGTACTGGCCAACACTGCTACGCACTGTTTGTTGTTTTTTACAGGCTCTAGCAATCTTATAACCTGTAATATTCTAATAGTATTTGTTATGATGTTGTTCAGTATTCCAAGAATTCTCATTCTCATGCCTCATTCAAAAAGCAGTCTGGGCTGAAACGTTCCTTATAACTTTACTGTGAATTGAGTGGGGCTAAACTGCTGTGGGATGAATAGAGATGTGTGTGAATGTGTTGGTTTTTGTAGCATCACAAAAACACTAAACTCAAAACTGGTTTCTTTTGCATATTAACTCTGTGAACTGGGGAGTGACCAGTACATTTTGAAAATGTAATGAGTGTTTACACACTACATCAAACTCTTATTGCAAGGAGACTTGTTCTTCATGACATGGGCCCTTTAAATATGGTTATCTCAGGGGGTCTATAACACTGACTGTAGATGTCTTACACTTTAGCAAGAGAGCATGTGAGTGCATGTCCAGCTTTGGTCATGACTTGACTTTGTGATCTGTGCCTGCAGAGGCTGATGGGGCCTGATGGCATGTCTCTGGTCAATGGGACGACAGGCTTGCAAGGGGAGGATTACTGGGGAGATGGGGGCGTGTCTCAGGGAAGACCTGCCTCCCCACAGCCCCAGTCCCAGCCTCAACCACAGAGACAGGTCAGCGACGTCTACTCCAACACCCTGCCCGTCCGCAGACCCCAGCCTGCCAAGAACAAGGCCTCCGTGGGTAAGAGACCAGGACGCATCCTGCTTAACCCAGTTAACTGAGCAGCCTTTAACGCTGACAGCTAAACACAGCCAGTCAATCAGCTACAAAACCGTGCATTGTCCATATTAGAGCAGGGCCATGTAAAACATGTTACTGTGACAGTAAATTAAGAGGACAAAGGAAACATCCTCAGTTACTGCTGCAGCATTTATACAGCCAACAAATTACCATAATACAGTAAATAGGTATTGAATAAGTGAGTGTGTACATAAGGTTTTGCTTTTGTAAATGCCTCAGTAATAGATAGTAATAGGCTATATGGGAGATGTCTGATAGCCTCACTAGTGCTCACAGTATGAACTTCTTCCTAATGTGAGAAAATAAGTGTACAGTTTTTCTTTTCCGTGTAAATACCACACATTTTTTGCAGGTTATTTGTCATCAGTTTTGAATCCAGAGAGGTTCCAAATTAGACGTTCCTGGGAGTGTTCAATTTTCTTGATTCCTGGTAGCCTGTGCTAAACTGTTAGCACTTTGCACCCTCTTTAGATTAGTTAGCAAAGCAGCTAAGGTAAAGCTAAAACAAAAAAGTAAATAAATATAACAAAAAAATAATTTGATATTCTAAATGAAAGTAAATGAAATATGATATCAGTGAAAATTTCAAGTGTTCTATATGCTAACTACATTTGCACCCAAGGGCCTTTGACTGCCAAGGGCCTAGGGGGACATCGGACCTGGGTGTGTATGGAAATATATTTGGGGAAATTTGCTATCACTTTTTATTTTGAGGGTATCCCTCACTTTGTCTTAAATTTGACCAAACTTTAAATTTAATGTAATAGATTCTGTTGAATGTAACCCTAAACCTAATCCTAACCTTAACTTAAAACCTACACCTAATCCTAACCTGACCTCAACACTAAACACATACTTTGTTGACTGTTTCAAAGCAAACATCCTGATCTTATGTCGTTTTTTTTGGATGCCCCCCCCACAGGCGAGACACGGACTCTGCCCAGGTCCAGCTCCATGGCGGCAGGGCTAGAGAAGAACGGGCGCTCGCGTGTGCAGGCCATATTTTCCCATGCTGCTGGTGACAACAGCACACTGCTTAGCTTCACTGAGGGTGACATCATCACGCTCCTGGTGCCTGAGGCTCGAGATGGCTGGCACTATGGAGAAAATGAGAAGAACAAGATGTAAGCTCTCAATGCCCCAGGGCTGGGCAGGAACTTGTTTTTTATTGAGACCCAGGATGTAGATGAACAAAACAAAGGCCAGCCCTTACTCGTTATGCTTATTACTGGCTTTAGCACTGTAAGATGTGAATCAGATAATATGAATTAGGAAATTTTCTGTAATAGAAGCTTCAGTGTTATTTAACTTATCTAAGTTAAATCTGAACAAGCTTGAAAATGCAGTGTAATTTTGTCCATTTTTATAAATAATAATGTGTCCATATTGGCCACATCAGCAAAACTGTTTGACATTACTTAACCACTTAATGTGACTTGAGGCAAAAGTAGACTGATGACTTAAATGTGCTTGAGCTAAGCTTGATTTTCCTTCTCAGGCGAGGCTGGTTCCCCTTCTCTTATACACGAGTGCTACCTGACAGCGACAATGACAAGCTAAGAGTGAAGTAAGTAACTTGACACGCTCCTGTGCTTAAGCAAGGACATATACATCAGCCAAGGGAATGATGAAGTTGTGATATGCTTTCAGTGCAATGATGTTCTGAAGATTTTATTTAGTTTGTATTCTATTCTATTTACCGAGGATATAAAGCATTTTATGGAGGTTTGAAAGAGTCGAGTGCACGTCTTTTGTAGTTCTTGTGTATGTGAATGGGGAATTTCGTGCTTGGGTTCTCTGTCGCTGCAAAAGCCAACATTAACCAGAGACAGAAGGATATATATTATTCTGCCTTTAAATTCACTCTTCCTATAAAGTAACACAGTCTCTAAATGCTGTTAGTGCACCCATTTTAAAGGAAAAAGTGATCTGACAAAGTCAGAATGATATGATACTGAATGATAAAGCTGAAGATTTGTGGCATGAACTACTAATTTGAGCAAGTAAGTGATTGCTTAGGAAAGAACTGTTTCTGATATGGCTGTTTCTGAACATTTTAATCCACTCCAGTCATGTTTTTTTTGTGATTTTTGAGTAAACGACAGTACAGGGCAGCCAATCAGAACAGAGCTATTTTGTATTATATCAGTCTTAAAGTCACAATAACAAAAAAACAGCCTTCTAAAGGGATAAAGAGGGGTTGGAAAATCGTCATGCACAAATGAGTTATGACTGTTTTGGTACATACAACCACACATAAGTGGACTTCAAGGGAAAAGATAAAAATAAGAAAGTGTAGGAAATTTTGCCTTTTAAGCGACTTCTTATGCCACCCTGATTGCCGACATCTAAAATAAGTAGTTGGTTTGATTTTTGGTGTGAATGTATGTTTGTATTTGTTCAGAAACTGCCACACTGCCTCTAACTACAACAGCAGAGGTTGAGGCAGCATTGTGATACATACTTTACATACTTTACAACCTAATGCCTTTTGAGTCACGACCCTAGAGCTTGTGTTTTAAGAAGTGAAGACTTTTTACTCTTAAAGTGAACACGCTGGCCAGCTATTCCCTGCTCATGACCAAGATCAACAGGTAATGAACAAACTCTTCATGAGCTGGATCGTATGTGTTGAGCTAAGGAGTAGTTAAAACTGTGCAGGGCAGTAGGTCCATAGGAGCAGGATTAATAAACACTGGACCGCGCCAATAGATGATCTGCATGAAGGGGTTAAATCAAGAAGTGGCTTTTGGGTGACACTCCTTTTCGCAGCTGAATAATGTTACCTCCTAATCACTTCGGTTCAAAAATAAAGCCATGCTTATGCTTTTGGGTGAAGGGCTTCAGCCTTCAGCAGAGCATGTATGGGCTTGAGTAGTTTAGGCTGATTGTGCGCTCTCCTCTAGTCTACATCATGGAAAGAGCAGCAGCACGGGGAACCTGCTGGAGAGAGACGACACGTCTCTGCCCATGCCTGACTACGGCCTGACCGCCCGTCTGCTGGCCCAGAGCCTCACACAGAACCGCCCGCGCCCGTACAGCATGGCTGGCTTCACACAGGTACACACACATACACACGCACATGCTAATCTACACTCTTAAAGATAAAGATGCCAAAAAAGGGTTGTTTTGATATGCATCAGGGAACTATCCATTGAAAGGTTCTTTTGGGCCGTGGCTCTCAAACTCCCAGACGGTACACACTTTTGTATCATTCCCAAATATTGGATAGATCAATGTGGACCATGTGAGGGGTCCCTGAGGACCAGTTTAAGAACCACTGCTTTAGGGAACAAAACATGTTTCTTCTATGGTAGTGATTCTTAAACTCCCAGTTTCAGATCATAGGGATAGAGCGAAAATGTGGACCAACTGTTTGAGAACAAATAGTCTATGGCAATGCTTCGAGGAATCCTTGTCACCTTTAAGAGGGAACTTAATTTTTTCCTATACTTTCTCTGCATATTTCTTGGTGCATCTGCTCAGTAATCTTCTCTGAACTCTGAAGCTTACTGACTCCCTCTGCTGGTGCAGCAGGCACTTGTTACTGATTGCAATGCATGATCTTTTTCTACTAACACTGCTGTGATTTGTGCTTTCTTGGATATTTTCACTGGCTCTTGCACAGAGCCCTCCAGGGTAGCATTGAAATATTCTTTTTTACGAATTGCAGCCAGCGATTGAGGATTATGACAGTCATTTTGCCGCAAGGTAAGATTTAATCTGGATGAACCGATATGTATATATATATCTAAGAAATAGAGTAAAGTGTCAAATGATGCAGCAAGAAGGGTGTAGTAAATGTGCCTGGATGTATTAGAATTGCTTGATATATTAGTAAAATAGTTCTTAATATCTGTCGTCTTTTCCCTTTTCTTGGCACTTTTTTGCTTGTGTCACCTGTGATTAGTTGTTTTTTTTTTCTGATTTGTCTGAGGAACTCAACAATATCTGTGTTTGAGTGGAGAAGGTCGAACGTACGTCTTTTGTGTTTTTGTGTGTGTGTGAATGAGCTGGTGGGTTTAAGGGCTGAGAGAAGCATCATCAGCGTGTGCGATGCATCATTTCTGACATCATTTCTGTCCATATCCTGTGTGCCCTGAACTTGCCGTCTCTCTGAGCTGAACCATTAGGGTTCAAACCCATGTAGACACTGCAAATAATGTTCCGTTCAAGGACATGACTGTGATCAAAACCATTCTCATATCTGGCTCATATTTTTTCTCATATTTTTCAAACACTCGTAAAAAAAAAAAAAAAGATGTTAAAATGGTTCTTTTGAGTTATGACTTTGAACAGCGGTTTTCAACTTGTTCCTCCAGGCCCACGTTTTTGCTTCATCCCTATGTGTTGTGAGTAGTGTTGAAGCAAAAATATGGACCATCTGGGGGCTCAGAGGAATGAGTTGGGAACCACTGACCTTAAAGAACCTTTCAGTGGATGGTTCTTTAAAGAAATGTGGGAGTGTTTAAAGAACCACCACTTTGGTAAAGGTTTTTACAAGCCAAGAACCATTTAGGAGCCTTTATTTTAAAAACTATAGCTTTCTCTAATCTGACCCTGTCGTAGTTTCAGATAACGAAATTTTTCACATTGTTCTCCAAGACCCCGTTCACACCTGGCATCTTGGCTGATTTGATCATGAGTGGACTGCTCTAAGTACAGGTGTGAACAGGGTCCTGTGCATCACGGAGATGCGCTATGATCCGATCACTCAAACCACCATCAGCAGGCATGACATCACATTTGTAGTGTGAATGCTAAAGTATCCTGAGCATCGACTGCGTCATCACGACCGAGACGAAAGCAGCAGCGTTTCTTTCTTCTGTTTTTAAGTTAAGCCCATGTGATCGAAACAGCCCATATGTGTATACGAACAAGGACTTGCGGCACATTTTTGTCTGACCACAAACGTAGCAAGACACGCGTAGTAGTCTTTCCAGTCATGAAATTCAATTATAAGTGGTAACTGGAAAAGCAGCCATAAACGGCTTTACGCTGTCCACTTGTGATCAGATCACTCGAGACAGATGCTAAAATCAGGTATGAACAGGGCCCAATACGCTTTTGGAGCTTCTGTTTTTTATATCTTTTTTTTTTCTTGTATACTTAAAACAGTGCTCCTCTCTTCCCTGCCCCTCAAAAGTCACACCTGCCCCCCTTCCCTGTAATCCCTTCCTCTTTTGGCTGTCTTGTCTTTTCTCCATTTCTCTCTCTAAGTGTGTCCGACCTGGCAAGCTTCCTTCTCTCTTTGTTCCACAGTTCCGATGGCAAATTGATTTCGACAGTGTGAGCACAGACAGGCTTTCAGACACAGACACACCTCCGGATAGCACAGGGGTTGCCCCCCACTCCCTTCCAATTTCCCCTTCCCCTTTCTCCCCAGTTTCTCCCCTTCTAACCTTCCCGTCCCTTCCCTCCCTTCCCTTCCCAAAAAGCCAATGCCTCCACGCACCCCCTCCTCCTTCAATGGAAGAAGGCCGGTCTCATCCCTCCTTTCTGTCCTCTCTTCCTCCCTCCGTGTCGCGCCGGGCGCCGGGGGGCCACAGTGGCGGCGGTGGTGGTGTGTGGTGGGTCGGGGGGGACAGTGACAGAGAAAGCCAGAGGGCGCTCCACCTGCTCGCCTCGCAGCTTTACGGACACTGAGCCGCACCGTCGCCGTGGACTCCTCCCCCCCAGCAACGGACTCTGCTGACCGCTGCTCGTCTCCCATGCATGTGCATAAAAAGTTCTGCAACTGTTGTGTTTTTATGATGATGATGATGATGATGATGATGATGATGATGATGATGATAATGATTATTACTTTGTTTTTAAAAGAAAACAAGGACATCGTCATGTAAAAGTGCCAAAAGCAAAAGCAATGTCGCTTCTTTCAAGCAGCTATCCTTCCACGAAACAAAAAAGCGCGTGCCGAGTGTCCTTTTCTTTCAAGCTGTGGACTTGACGCTACTAGCGAAGCTCCTGCTCACTGAGGGAGACTTTCAACTTTCTTTGTGGTTCAGTTGTGCGGAGTGTTTTTTTTTTTTTCTCTGTGTTTTTTCCCCTTTATGGTTCCCCCTCATGTCTTAACTCGGAGCACTGTGCAGCCCAGAGGGTGTGTCACTTTAAACAATTTGTATGATTAATTTGCGTCACTGCCCTCGATTCATGAATTGTTTTTGAATGGAAAATTCCACCCAGTAAACAACTTAGCTATGGGCCCAAACATGCAGGCTAACACGAAGGCCATGTGTCAATGTAACAAATGGGCAGGACCTTGCTGTCAGTCTGGGGCAGCACAGTCAAGTTACCTACAAGCGTGTGCGAAAGCAAAGTGCAAATAAAGCAAATTTCCTAAATCTGTCCCTACCAGCCGTCCTCCCGTAGAGGTCAACATCCTGTCTTCTTATATGCTGTTAATGCCGTTATGCCGTAACTTTGCCTCAAAGATCGTGTAATATGTTCACACTTGCGTTGCTGTGTGCCGAAACGGTCAGCTGACAGATCCTCTGGAGCCGTGGTGTAGTTTTCCCGCTGTGCTGTTGTACCTTTTTTTCGTCTTTGAAAAATGCTTTTCTTTTCCTTGTAAATCGAATAAAAATGCACAGAAGTCAGTGTAAGGAAAACCTTTCAATCACAATATGCATGCTATGGAGGAAACGTCAGAAAACATGTTGAACATTGACCTTGAATGTATTGTGACTTTTTACAAGAAGTATATATAAATATATCTATATATTAATAAAACACTTGTTCAAATTATATATCATGATTTGTTAACTTGAGCTTTTGAATACATGGTTTGTGTTGTGGAGAAAAACGTACTTCAGTGTATCTCATTCCCATGTAATGCCCACTCGCCACTGGAGTACATGTACAGTGCTATTCATGTACTGTGTGCGCGCCTGTTTGTTTGTGTGTTACACAACTTGGATTGTGTGCATAAATGTGTGAACTGTCTGTGTGTGTGTGTGTGTGTGTGTGTGTGTGTGTGTGTGTGTGTATGTGTATGTGTGTGTACATGTGGTTGCCCGCAAGCCTCTTTTTAAGGACGCCACAGTGAAGCATGCTCTGTTTGAAATGCGTAGAACAGCAGTAGTAGTGGTTTTTCTATAGAACAGTGGTTCCCATGCCTGGTCCTGGAGCACTCCCTGGCCTTCACATTCTCTCAACACACCAACCAATCAGCTAATTACCCTTTCTTAGTTGAAGTTTGTGTGTAAGATCAGGGAAAACACAACAATGTTCAGGACAGGGGGTACACCAGGACCAGGATTTGGGAACCTGTGCACCGGCAGTGCATGGAATTTGATATTGCTGCTCGGCCAGACGTGATCTCGTAACAAGAATACATGTCTCGGGGCCACTTGTTAAACTTTTGGTACTGGATTGCAACAAAATCCCTCTCAAACAAGGGTAGGCTTCCTCTAAAACCCACTCTTGAATTCCTCTAGTCCATGCTCTTTTAATATTCAGAGTACAATTGGTAATAAGAATACACGTCTGTGGACAACTTGTTAAACTTTTGGTGCTAGATTGGGGCAAAATCCTTCGTAAACTAAGGGTACACCCCCTCTCTTTCTTGTAAGAGGTTATGTTTACTTTTACCGCATGTAATATACACGCTAATACAGATTTTTTTTTTGAGGGGGGGGCGCTAACTTTATGTTCTTGGTCTAACAGGCTTTTTGTCCTTCTGACAGTGTTGATGAGTGCACCATTGTCCCCCTAAGAGAGCCAGTTTATGAGGAGCCTGCCACTTCCTGTGTACCATTATTCCAAAAAGTCGTCAATGACATGGGGTTCATGGAGCAAAATGCCAAAAACGATTAAACATGTTTCTTAGGCGTTTATGTGTGAACTTTTGGAAGGTAGAAGAATGTATTACTTTAAAAAAAAAGCAAAGAAAACTTACAGTACATTTCTATTTTTTTTAGAGACACACAGTAGAGCACTACTTGCATTACTGCTACTGAGTGTTGATTGGGTGGTTTGTGCTCAATGACATCAAATATAAAGTTGAAATATTTATTCTGAGTCGAGAAAACAGGTGCATTTTTCTGTATAAAATCATAAACCATTCACAAATAAGGATTTTGCTCACAAGCTCAATGAGAACCCATTCATTTAGGACTCCACTGGGAACACCTAGACAAACATCTAACTTGGAAAAAATGACTGAGTGGCAATTCTCCTCACTATAAATTCTTTGCCCCATCACAAGGCGTTGCATTGGTTTAGAAACTCCACACTTAGTTTGTTCCCACCCTTGTAAGTCTACATTCCCACCCATACTTGAAAAAAAGAGCCAAAAATTCTCATGGTTGTCCCCAAACGTTCTCATTACCAGATAACATCTGGCCCAGCGAGACTAGGGATTTGATAGTTCGATATCTTCTAGTGCATGCCGTAGAGTTAAGTTTGTTTTGAGTTCTTCCACCAAATTGGACTGATCAGAGACAAATATGAACAACTGCTATGGGCAGACTCTTCATTTTACACTATATTTTGAACCCATGTCATTACGGTAAAGGAGTTAATTTACTCATGTACAAGCACAGGGGTTGGAATGTCCATCCATCTTGAGCCAGCGCCAAACTCAAAGACATCATGCTACGAAATGAGTAACCTCCCTGCCATCCTACACAAAAAAAACTAACAGTCGTCTGAATGCTGTGATAATGTAGCCATGCATAGCACATAGTGTGAGCTGAGCTCCGGTACAAACCCGTGGACTCTCTTTACCTTCCAGTTTGGGTCCTGAATTGTCCCGGTTCTGAGTGTGCAGGACCTCCGTAAGTCACCTGCCTCCACCGCTGCTCAGCCAACCAATCATGTCCTCCTTCTCTTCTGTTCTCTCTGCTCTCATTGGCTGTCTGGCATTAACAGGGTAGCCGGGCTTCACAGCTCTCGCTTGTGTTTATTGTTTTTTTTATTTTTCCCCTCATTCTGTCACCGGCCTCTCTGGTTGGTTCTCTTTCCCTTGTGGTTTACTTTGTACCAGCCAATCAGACAGGTCATTGGTTGCAAGGAAATGGTGTTTTCATGGAGGCAATATGTTGGCACTGGAGGTAACCCAAAAATCTAACTCTTGCATGCCTTCTCAATGCTAACAAAAGTGAGCACTAGCACTTTAACCGACGACGTCTTGTCTCATTTGCATGCTTGCTCAAAAACACCTTCCATAGAAACTTCCCAAGTACTTTCGTTCATAAGTATATGTCAAATGAACCACTGTATGCCTTTCAGCAGTACTCTTTCTATTGACCAAATTCTATTGATCTTTTCCAATGCTTAGTTTGTCTAAGATGCTCTGTTCTCAATGTGGTTTAGGGTAATAACAGTAGAAACATTGGCTGCTAAAGTCAAAAGCACACCATAGAGCACTGTTTTGCACATAGTGATGGCCTTTGTTGACCCCCTCTCCTTCCAGTGACCGCTCCCTGGAGGTCTACCTCAGATCAAACATGATGGATGACCGCACCGCTCCTCTCTTCTACTAGAGTGGCCTGCTTATGGCCTGCTCTCTGCCGCCCTCTTCTGTTCTGTGTTTGTTGGTGCAACAGCACACACAAGCTTAAGACTCTGGGGCCGGTAGGGATACAGGCCCGGAACGCTCCTGGCTCTAAGGATTACACTAATTTTTTTTCCATATTAGCTTCATAAATATTGTTGTATAGTGAAAAATTTTGGTGTATATAATGATATCAACAAATGCCAACTTCATTCAGAGCCTCAGACAAGGGGCGCTAGCTGTATCTGTGGGGAAATTTTTATAGATCAGTGCTCTTAATTATTCCATGATTATGATGTACAATTTTGTGTTGGTTTAGGTTTTGATTAAAAAAATGCTAATAATAAAATAGGAAAAAAAATCTAAAATGAGTCATGAAAGGATGGCTTATTCTTTCTCAAAGATAGGTTAAGAGTTAAAGGAAGAGCTTGACCAGACATGCTGATGTGGCTAGCGGTGAATGGAAGTTAGTAGCCACCATTTAGCATCATTTTATTATTCATAATTCTAAGAAGTGGCTATTCGTTTTTATCCATTTCTAGTAACGTTAGCATTTTTGACCGAACCATTCCTTTAAATGTTCCTTTTTGTTTCATCCATCATTTGTATTTCATCACAGTAGGCCTTAGCCTTTCACATCTTTATTTTGCCAATGGGTAATGACCTTGGATTTGTATAAGATCACTGTTATTAAGGCTCTGTCTCCCCATACTTCTGCACCACCAGTCTTTCCCATAGGAAGTTGCTGTAAATAGAGTCTTCACTATGGCAAAATCTCCAGTTGGAGACATTAATTAGACAGACTCTCCGTAATGAATATTTAGCCATCCTGTCTCATCTAATGCTTCAATATAAAGCTCTAGCAATCCCTCTGTATGTTCCCTGGCTGGGAAAGCTTGTATAAAATGTGTTTTCTATAGGTAATGAGCACCAACAAGGGTTTGTGCCTTCTACCGCTCTAGGCTGTAGCGGTGCAGCTGTGAGGAAAATCCACATGCTCACGTGCAAAGGGAAAAAAAAAATCTGATTCTTTTGTATTGTTTGCTTATTTTTGTTTTAATTTTGTTGATTATAGGTAGTATAACACAATTGAAACTATGTTTTGTTGCTTACAAACAGTCTCAACTTTAACTATGTTGTACATTTTTTTTTCTTCTCTCAGATGGATATTGTTTCTTAGTTCAGAATTAGATTTATGGGGCTAAAATGCACACGCATACTCGCTTACAAAATATGGTTAGTGTAAATACAATCTCTTTTCCCAATGAAAATATTAAGTACATGTCAATATTAATCAAAAAATGCACAGTCTTATCTTTATATCAGAACTGTTCTGTAGGCTTAGCACTGGTACCTTAAACCTATACTATGTAAGATTTGAACTCACGCCTATGAGCTCCATTTAATAACTAGTGTTGGTTGTAATGAATGTTTTGCAGCATTTCTGTTTTTGTGGTTTTTCTATAATGCACAGGACATATGTGTCTATGCTGTCAAAGATGCTTACAAAGATAGTTTAGATGTAGAAATGCTGCAGTTGACTCAATGACTGTACCTACTGTTAAAAAAAAAACAATGTTCTGTTGTCACCAGTTCAGTTTGTTGCGTTTCTCTACATGAGCCAACATGATAGAGCTTAGACGTAAGACTACTGCAGCATTCAGTTGGATGCTTCTAGTTTAAATCCTACATAGTATAACCTTCATGTACGTGTAGTGTATCCTGGCCTCACTTGAGAGTTTACAGCTAGACAGGAAACAAAGTTGTCATGTCTGTTTGGAAATGTGTGGTATTGACTGGACTGAATCGGGAGAATGTGCGCGCGTGTGAAAAGTTGAAATGGGCCAACATTTTTGTAACATGTCAGATTTGTTTTGGCTTTTTGTCTTTGTTCTGTTCACTCTTATTTATGTCCCTGCATTTTACAAGTAAATATTTTTGTCCTTTGTGAAATAAAATGCTGAAAGCAAGTGTGCATTTAGTCACTGACTGGTGATTTATATAGGCCTACACATCATAAGGCTACATGGCGAGAAGGGAACATTCAAAAATGACCATATCGTCCTTCGACAAAAGCAAATAAATAATAAATGCAAATGAATTGCTTTTCAAACGAAAGAGTTATAATTGATTTAGAGTCATATTCAATGATGTATGTGTTCATTTTTTGACTAAAATAAAATTCTTGACTTATTTTCAAATGTTTGATTTGTTGGTTTATGTGTGTGAAGGATTTTTACCCAGTTTTCTCACAAGTTTAGTCATTACCACCTGCTAGCTAGGTCTCCTCCTATCACATGAGAGTACCAAGCAGCAAGGGTGAAGACTGTTGCGTGTTTCTTCTGAGATCTCCCAAAAACACGGCTAATGCACTATACAGTTGTACCACTTGGGAGCCATTTGGTGTGTTATTTTATGGTCTGTATTCTACTACTGTGTAAATAGTCACATTTGTGTATTCACCGTTTTTTTAAAAAATAATTCCTCCCAAAAGAAACTAAATGAATGGAATCATGGTGAAATTTGAGAATTGTAACCTAATTGAATCATGAGGTTGAGAATTTGAACCAGTACAAATCAAACATTGCAGTAAGACAACTGGCTCCTAAGGACAAACTATAGGTTTGGTTTATTTATTTATTTTTTGGAATACTACAGTTGGCATGTATGGGGAGAAATGGAGCAACAGCCATGATGTTACTACAGGTGCAGGAACAAATGCACCACACCAGCACGCTGTAATAGGATGATTCACGGGGCTTTTGATCGTTGGATATCGCTTTGGCAACTATAAACAGCCATCGACCTGTCCTCTATAAAGCACTGATATGTTTTGCACTGTAAAAATAGCACAAAATGCTGCAAGATTTCACAGATTATAAAAGGCCTGCAAGGCAGATAGAGAGGAACAGGGTAGTAATGATGCCTGTTTGGAAATATTGGCACAGTAATGGACTATGGATGCAGCCCAGTGGTGCTAGGGTGAGCATGACCTGTGCAACTGTAGTAAGACCAAGTACCATACATTTATACAGTTTTCAGTGTGAAACATGGTACAGAGAACATCTTATATAGTCAGGTCACTAACACAGAAAACTGACTGAACTTGGACAATGTGTGGAGACAGGAGTGAAGTCCACGTACTATCACTTCCATTGGTTGGACGGCTGAATTGTTCCACGCTCCTGTTTCTCTCGTTACACTGATATGCTCTGCTGATTTTCCTCTGAGTACAGAGTTTTAAAGATCCAGCTTCTTCATACATCATGAGGTACCATTTGAAGCACAGGGGCACATTTTCAACAGCTGCCATTGGTCACTCTGGGACTTTGTTTTAAAGGACAACACAGTTTTGTTTTGCAAATAACTTAAAAGTTTGTTGTAAGCAAGTAAGGCATGCAGACAGTGATGATGTGAATTAGATACTTTTATGAGAAATGTACCGAAGCAGACAGACCTATTATAACTGCACAGTACTTCTTTCATAGCTTTACATGTTTGTCATGTAGTAATTCTTGAATTGTAAAGGTCTGACCCGACTGAGAAGAACAGATTGGTGGTTGTCGTAACAGAACCCAATATGCAGGATAACTAAAAAAAAACATTCTTATTCTTAATGCACATTAATGAAATTAAATAAAATTTCAATATAAAGGGCATCTGAGGCATTGGAAAAAAAAATACATATGAAGTTTCATATCAAAACCTTGTAACCAGGTTTTGATACGACACCGACTATATTCTAGGAGCAAGTCCTAACAACTAGCCTATGAAAATCCCACATAAAACAGTTTCACTTCACTCACTTCACTTTTAAGATCTGCTTCTCCACATCATAAAAAGGCACCCTGGCAGTAGAAGCATTAAAATGGGCCATAGAAATGGAGAATGTCAAATATTTGGGCTCTGGCATTTTTCAAGCCTCTGTTCCATGCCTGTTTGGTATGTTTGGCTACTTTTTTTTCCCTGCTTAGTTTCAAGACCCATTTAACTCCACAGATGTATTAACAGTAATGGATATATCACCCATATGAAAGATGAGGTTTATTTGCAAAATTGTGGCATTGTCCTTTAAAACTCACATCCTAACCAGGTAGGTAAAACTTGGTAAATTAACATGTGATCGGATCTAATATGTACTCCTTTTGTAGTTAAGGCGATGATAGGGTAACAGATTTAATATTTTGAAAGCAGAATCATGAAGACCCCGTAACTGCCTATTTACAGCTCATTCTTCAATGTGCAACACTAGTGTGGGAAATGGACACTAAAAGACTCTAATGGATATGCAAACTCATGTTCTAATAGCACCCGTTGAAATGCTCAATCCTTTCCTCAGCATGAAGATGAAGTGTCACTTTAATATAAAGGCCAACATCAGTGAGAGAAACTAGACTGTGATAAACTTTAACTGGATCTATATAGATAGACATAAACAGGCATCCTGATATTTCATTTGATCAGTGTGGAAATTGATTTGCACATGACCTCTAGGTTTCAACAAAGAAAGTGCATTTCCATAATCTTTGCCTCATCTTCAAAGTGTATAGCAGCACAAAGGGGGAGAGGGGAAAGTTGTTTCTTTAGTGAGGAGATATGTCAAACACAAGCATCTTTTCTAATGTGCCTTAAGCTTTGATTTCATCAACACCAATTTAGCATCCCTCATACAATTTACCTGAGCTACAACATTTTCGCTTAACGCAGTCAGAAGTGATTGCCTCCAGAGAAAACTATGGATTTCCTCTTGAATCTCAAGGGTCTCTAATCTGGGGCTCTATCACAGGGGCTTGTTTGTACACTCCCAGCAGTTGACACGTCCTGATTGACAAGTCACAACTTCCTTTTATCACTAAGCCTGCTGGCTTTCACTCTGGTGTTTGGAAGATCTGAGAAATTTATGATAAAGATGGGGAACCGCAAGGCAATGAGCAGCGCAGTAATACCTTTTTATGGTTGCTACAGTTTGTAAAAAAATGACTTGTTGCAGTATGAGTGTTGATACTGAATGTTGCAAATAAGTTATATCATATATTATTTTTGTAATACATACATAAATTTTTCTGATACATATAGATTTATTTTTCTGTTCTTTTAACTGTTGTCCTTATCAGACTATGTCACACTACTGCCATCTGTCTAGAGACAAAAGGAAGTAAGGCTAATGTCATTCCACTACAGTATGAGGCACTGTGTCCGAAAAAGGATATCAGATTCAGAAGATCCCTCGTCCAGGACATTTAATAAAACAACAAATCTACAGCCTTTTCAGGCCAAAAGGGTTCTGGATGTGTTGTCCTTCAAATGTGTCAAAACTGGTCCTCTCATGCCTGATCTCCATCCATAGCGCTTCCTGTGTGAATTTGAGAAGAGGAGATAACATGATGTGCCTTTATGAACAAAGTGACAGCAAAAACACAGAGCTTGTGTTTGGATGGTATATTAGAAATGTACACTACACAGTACACAGTACTGTGTCCATATTCTGTATATTTCAAATAGCTGACTAATGCTATGGCACTGACCTCCCATGGTGTCCATGTCTGAATCAGACACCTGTGTAATGGAGAAGCGAGAAATACTGAAGCGGGAAAACTGGGGTTCTGGTTTTTCTTCTGGAGACTTGACTGGAGAGTTGGGGGGTGTGCTAATACCATCAGAAGCCGGTTCTAATGTTGAAGGACTGGGAAAATCTTCCTCCCACTCGTAGGTCTCACCTGTTCAGTCAGAGGATATTATTATTATTATTATTATTATTAATACGTTTTTCAACTCTTATCTAGAACTGCATAACACTTACATTCTGAGACATTTTCATCTGAGGAGTTATCAGAGGTACCAGCTCTCTGTGGTCGAAGTTGCTCGCCCACTGCAGCCTGGCCATTAGGTTCTGCCCCAGGTGGAAATGTGTATTCTGCTAGTTCCCCTGTAGGGCTCTCCTAGAAAAAGACCAACAGCATCTATGAGTCAACCCACTATATCTCAAATGAACATGTGCCATTTCAGTAAATACCTGAGCAAGTTATGCATTTTAAATGATATAAAAACTACCAAGTACCACTGACCTGGTCAAACAGGAACACTGTGACATCATCAAAGAAGGAGACAGCTTTTTTCTTGCGCTCCAGCTCGTCACAAAAGGATTGAGTGAGCAGTGAGGGCATTTTGAGGAGGCTGCGCAGATGGCGAGCACTGCTCCGCTCACTCACCACCACAGGCACGGTAGTGAACTCCTCCTCACTCTCCTCACTCTGCTCTTGCACACTATAGCTGCGCAGCTCTTCGTCAGACTCATCGCTGTCATCTGAGTCTTCCTCGTCTGCTTCCTCGCTGTTCCCTAGGGGTGCTGGTATATCCAGGTCCTCTGGTAAGGCAGGCAGAATGTTGTCCAGAGAACTGTCCCGCTTGACTCTTAAAAGTGCTTGGTCAATGCTGTCCTCCTCCACTCCCTCCTCTTTTTTCACTCCTTGCTTCTCCTCATCTTTTCCATCCATCTGACACTCTGTATTGTTTTCCATGTCCTCACAGTCTTCGGCTTCAGCTTCAGCTTCTTTCACAGACTCCCTGCTGAACTCCACTATAGTGGAGTCTGAACCCAGGGAGTCTGCAGATGAAAAGTCCCTGGTGGCACCACTAGCTTGGTCCTCCATCGTTGTGGCTTCCTGTGTTGTGGATGAGCCTTCAGAGGCTGTGTTGGAGCAGCACTCAGAAGCTGGATCTTCTCCAGAGTGCTCAGCTTCTAGCCCAAGGCCGTCATCTGGAGCAGACTCTTTGGTCAAACATCCCCCCATCTCTGGGGGAAAGGGGGATAACATGGTGATTCCTGGAGCTGATGCAGGAGATGAACCTAGATCACACTCCATGTTCTTCTTCTCAAGACACAACTGTTTGACACTGAGAACAGCATCATCTGTGCTATCTCTCAGCCTTGCAAAATGATACCCCTCCTCTCTCTGGTTCACTGGGCACCCTCCCTCTCTCCCTGCCTTCCTGAGAGAGTTGTCTTTTGCAGGTTTGTGTCCAAAAACATCATCCTCCACTTGGTTATCAAAGAAGGTGCTTCCTGCTTCACATGGACTCTTGTCATTCTCTGTGTCATAGTCTGAAAAATAAGCAGAGTCCCTGAACTTGTTTCTCTCACCCAGGCTGGTCAACTCCAGATTACTACTGCAAGCTGGGGTCAGGACTACATCATCATCATTTTCAAGGTCCATCTGGAGGACCATTTCACACTCTGATTCCATACTAGTACTAAGGACTGGCTTACCCTCCAAGTCCTTCATGACAAACTCAGGAGACTCATTGTTCTCTGTGTCATAGCCACTATCCAGGGATTTGGGTTGGATGGACATGTGGTAAGCATCTTGCATGAAGGCCTCACTAGGACTGTTACTAGCTGCAAGGTCAATAATGTCCTCAGTGTCACAGCTTCGCATTTCTCTGTGCAATGGTCTTTGTACCAAGTTAGAATCACTCACTTCTGCATAGTCCACAGGAGACTCTGGAAACACACCAGAGGTAATGTCAGTGATGTCGTCATCACTGCAGTCATCAATGTCCACCAAGCTAATGCTAGAGCAGCCGGGCTCCACCCAGCTGCTCCCTGTATGACTGCACTCTAAGACACACTCTGACAGAGCCGTGGGGCACGGAATCTTCTTCCCACTTAGTGTTGCAGGACCCTCTGATCGGAATTTTATGTCTTGTGCGGGGCTTGTGCTTCTGTCAGTGAGTAGATTCTCTGGAGTCACTGCTGTCTCAGCTGGAAGAGAAACTAGATTCTTACTGGTGTAACCCCCTACTGGGAACTGTATCGTATTCTCTCTGACATGCAGATGAGGAGCATTCTTCTGGGCTGGATAAATAATTTGTTGTTTTTCTGGGGCTGAATGAAACTTGGCAGATGACTCTACCTCCTTCCTATCCTCACAGCACAGACGTATGTATGATCCACACTCTGAATCTGTGTATGGAATGTTAATGGTGGATGGGTTGCTGCCTGTGGCTTCCATATACAAGGGTGTTTTGAAAATATGGGAGGGATTACTTTTGGAATTGTCACATGCTTCTACTGTTGTCTGCCTTGGGTTCTGTACACGGGAGGAAGGTGTACTGTGGTGTAAATCAAGATAGGTGTCAGGAAACCCCCTGGATTGTCTGCCATCAAAGTTTAAGCTATTGTTATTTGCAGAGTGGTTTGAGGTCCAGTTGGTTGCTTCACTTTCTGTAAACAGACTGTTGTCATCCTCTGGATCAGCCGCACCCATAAGAAGACCATCTCCAGTTTCAACATTAATACTCATATAGTGTGCCCTGGGCATGTTCTTTTGCAAGTTGCCCATCATGTCATAATAGGCCTCATTTGCCATATTTTTTTCAACAGTCCTCTGGCTGGCCTCGAGGTAGGGGTCACAGTGTCCCAGACTGGGGCTGCTCATTGAGACTGATACACCATGTGAGCTATCTTGTAGCCCTGTATAGGGGTGGCTCCCAGACCCAAGATGAGAATCAGGTGGTTGGTGCCTTTTCAAATGAGCTTCCAGTTCTGCTGAGATTGACTGTTCACATTGGAATCTGTCTGTGTCACTGGGGGAGAAGTATTGTCTTGATTGATCTACAGATTCCAGTGGGCTCAGACCTCCCCTCTGAAGTGGCTCCAAGGTGAGAGAAATAGTTGGGCTGCCATCTGAATCATAGGCACTGCTTTTAGAGTCTTTTGCTGCAGACCAGTATGTGTTTGTCTGAGCCTCTGTGGGACTTTTCATGTCATTCGTGGAGAAGCAACTATTGCTGGCTTCAACTCCTGGACTGTAGTCAAGAGTGCCCTCTTCCAGATTAATGTTGCACTCTACAGGTTCCTCAATGCGGATGTAGTACTCGCTGCTCACAGATGGACTGTGTGCACTCAGTACTGGTACCACCCCTGGGTGATCTGGCTCGTAGTAGGATGGGGAAACTCCCAGAGTGAGACTCTCCCCTTTGCAGCTACCTGCGGTACTGCTGAGAGGATAATAGATGTCCTGGTAATGTGGATTGCTCCGTCCTAGAGGGCCACTGGCAGATGAGGAGCAGTAGGGCTGTTCAGCTCGGGCCTGCTCCCACTTATATTCAAAGTTGAGCCCATGGCTGGTCTCGGTCACAGTCAGTATGTCATCACCATTCTCTGACTGGAAGCTGTCAGCTGTGGAGAAGTGCTCTAACAGAGGGAAGGAGGAAGTAGACGAGGCTACCTCCGATGATGCTGGGGTTCTGTGGGAACTGCTGGTACCTAGGCTGGGTCTGAGGGAGTTCCAACGCTTCTCAAAGTCCTCCTCTGCCTCGCTGGTACCCTTAGCACACAGGTAGTTCAGCAGCAGATGAACTTCCTCCGCCATGGGCCTCTGCTCTGGCTGCAGCCAGCAGAATTGCATTACTTCATACCTGCTCATACACAAATAAGAAAGCACTACTGAAAAAGGATGTAAGAGTAATACTTATACAGGAAAAGAAAGTGGCAAAAGTATGTACAGCAATTGGCAAGGTATTCATCACAAAGCCACAGAGGTTTTAATACTCAGTCAAAAAGAATGCTTGCATGCACTTACATCATAGATGTTTAGCATCATTTAAAGGTAGAAAAGCACAATAAATGGCGGATATTCCAACAAGACGATGCAAGATGCCAATTCAGGAATGATTTAAAACCCATAGAGATCTTTTGGGGTTGTGTTGGGAAATATGTGGAATAGAAAAACCCAACTACTATGGATGGTCTGTGGACAGCAGTAATGAATGCATGAAGCAGATCCTTTAAATTATTTAAAAAATGTCAGAAATGTATGTCGAAGAAGTGTGAAGTTTTCAAGGCTATAGGACTTACAGACTGTTGATAAACATTGACATTTGAGCAATACTTTTTGACAGGGTAGTGTTTACTAGCATTAATAAATTAATTTAATTTAAATGTTCACTGCTGTCAACAGACCGTCCATAGAAGTTGGGTTTTTCTTCCCTACATAACCCTCCCAGTGTAGCCCCAAAATTCTTAATGGGTTTTAAACCATGCCTGATTTTCACTTGATGAACTACGCTGTATGTTGCATTGTCTTACAGGAATATCAGTCATTTATGATTTTCCTTCTTTAAATGAATAGAAAGGCTAAACATATCAAAAACAGTTGCTAAACACCAGTGTATGATATACATACATGTGATCAGTTCTTTTTGATTGAAAGTGTAGGACAGTCCCTCAGCTAAGAAAATAATTTGCATTAACTGGATCACGTTAATGGTGGAATCAGCTGCACATTGTGTCAAGCATCTGGGAATCAGAATTTGTTTCATGTCTGAAATGTTTGTAATCAGTCCCACATTCAGAAATGGTAATGTGAATAGAGGTCAGATGCTCCTCTAGTAATTAAATGATATGTGGAAAGCCTGGAGTCAAAGCAGCCTTGCATATACAGAAAAGAGTCAGTCAGTTTTGCAGGTGCATGTGGTATGTCAGTTTGCAAGAGTGTTCTTGATTAAATGGATAATGAATGGTAGTGTGTGGGACCAGAATTAATGACCACAAACTTCCTGGAATGGCTATGATTGATGGGCCTGCGGAAGAGGGAAATTAATGACTGACCATGCTGGACCTGAGCAATATTGATTTGTTAGCCATGCCAGAGAGAAAATAGAATGACCACTGGGGGGAACATGTGATAGAAAATACATTAAATGCTTTGGCTGTATTAATTTAAGGGATAATTTATGACTAGTTGGCATGCCTGTGGTACAAGGCATTGACTGATTTGCATTGGTGAAGGGGAAGTAATGATTGGTAGTGTGGAGAAAGGCAAGTTACTAATTGGTGATGGTGATTATGACTCAGGAGCTGAGATGACTCACCAGCGGTCAGACAGGGGCACTTTCAGCAAAGGCTTTGGCAGCTTCAGCTGCTGTTCCTTCACAGCATAAGTCAACACCTGCCTGTCAGAGTAGTGCCTGTATGGCTGGTTCCCAAGCTCAAACAGCTCCCAGATTGTCACGCCCAGCGACCTATAAAGTCAGAAAACATCCAAATGCTGGTGTCCTGGGGTTCTCTGAAATTTGGCGGTGAGTAATCCTAAAGAGTAATCCTAAAGGCATTGTCTTACCAGACGTTGCTGGCCTTAGTCTGGTCCACCACCAACAAGTTGCCATGAACCTCATCAATGAGCTCTGGAGCAATCCATCGCAGAGGCACCCAAATCTGATCTGCCGTTACAAAATAGTCATCCTACCAAAGAGAGAGACAACATCTGAGGCCAAGCAGGAACTGAGAAAGTTATATGGTGGAAAGGGAAGCTGTGTCACCACAGCAGGATCAGCACGACAACCCAGCAGTCCCACTGAATCCATTACTGACTCACCTTGTACCTGCTGTGGGAGAGGCCATAGTCTCCGATCTTCACCGTCATCTCTGAAGTGAGTAGACAGTTCCTGAGAGCCAGGTCACTAAGGAAGTAAGAAAAGGAATGCTACATGGCGATGCAAACATTATTCATAGTACAGTAAGGCCTATGTCACATCTTTTGGATGGTTTAATTGATGTTCAAAGCTTCCGATGATCGAAGGGTTCACCCCCAGCAACAAAATCACTGATGCTGGAGTCTGTCAGAGGCACTCAGGCAGCACCAGGATATTGTTGCAGGGAGAGACCAGAACGCAGAGAGGCTGAAATCCTCAGACCAGACTGGGACAAAAGAAATGAGAGAAAGGCTGTCTCTGTCTCCTCACCTGTGAATGTAATTATGTTTGTGGAGGTACAGAAGGCCAGAGGCAATTTCACATGCCATTCGCTGGAGAATCAAAGGGTCGGGGGTAGCAGAGTCTGCTCGGCAACTGCGGAGGTATCCCTTAACATCACCCTGAAAAAGCCAGAAGCAAGTATAAAGAACCACTCATCCTTAAACTAGAGATCATTAGTAAAATACAACCATTCGAGTGGCCTAAAGTGCATTTACCCTTTTGTTCAAAGCTGCTAGCACTGGGATTAGCAGGTTGATCAGACTGGCCTTATACTGACCAGCAGAGGGAGCATGCAGCCTCTCAGAAGATGCAGAGGCTGAGCAGGGAACGCCGAGTGGTTATTTATTCAGGCCACCTTGTAACCTCAGTCCTAGTGGAACAAGGTGTGTGTGTGTGTGTGTGTGTGTGTGTGTGTGAGCGCGAGAGAGATTGAAGGAGAGAGACATACCAGAGGGCAGTATTCCATAATCAACAGGTAGGGCGTGACTTCTGTGCACTGGGCCAGGCACTGCAGGAGAGCAGGATGTCGGAGAGTCCTGCAGGATTCCAACACACAAACACGCACACACACACACGTCAGTAGGTGTCAATTTTTTAAACTCTTCCAAACTGACTGGAATTGCAATTTGATCATTTAAGAATATATACAGCAAATGTGCATACAAGAAAGAATGAAAGGAATGGAGAGAGAAACGGACAAAGAGACTAATAATGAACAATCATTTGCTCAGACCGGTAAGGTTGGGCCTCCTCCAGGAACTGCATCTGGTCCTGTACGCTGGCACTTGCTTTCAGCTCCTTCACCACCACCTGAGTGGTGTTGAGTCCAGCATTCACCTCTCCCAGCAAAACCTATACCACAAAAACACAATCACACACACACACTCAGACACAGTGGGCACACATGGGCCATGCTGTGGGCTGAACAGCGGAGATTTACAAAGCGCACAGATGATGTGGAATTCACCGTGTTAATTCACCCAACCAGTTCACATGTTTGAGAGTCTCAAATAGTAGTTTCAAATGAGATCATTGGTTAATTTCACACACATTCCACTAGGTTCACATCAGCCTTCAACCCTAAGCCAAGGGGGCATGCAAGGACCCAGCTGCTCCATTCTAAGCCTTTCATTCTAAAGTGCTGTTTATTTTAGGAGGCTCACCTTTCCAAACCATTCTTGGCCAATTTCCTTTAGGTAAAGGAGACTGTGGCGCCCAAGGTCTGCTGACTTAAGCAACTGGACTAAAACAGAGAGAAAAGAAGAGAGAGCAAGAATTGATAGAATGCAGTCTCATGAAAACAGTAAATGTGACTTGTTTAACAATGAACAATGCAGCAATTCTCAGTGTTCTGAAAGAGCCCAAGCTCCAAGGAAACCGTGCTGCAAATTAGACATAACAATCACCCTGTCCCAGCATCTCCTCAAAAAGACAGTTTAAGGGCACGCAATCTCTAACATTTCATTTTAAAGATTTTTATCAGAAAAAAATGCTTCTTCAACTCAAAAGATCAGGTTATGAGGTTATAAATCAAGACTTTTCTAGAGATTTTAGTGGTTCTTACCCATGCTCTGGGACAGCACTGCAATGCACATAACATTCTCAACAAGCTCAACACAACATGCTGAGCTGCATCAGGTATGTCGAGGCATGGAGTTCTCTATGCCAGCATTAAGAAACATTGTTCTAGAACAGCACCATAAAACCCTTACACAAAGAAAGCAGAGATTCAGCATCACAGACTGCTAATCTAATCTCAGCTGGTCTTCACAATTCAACTGAAGGATGAGGGTGAAGACAATAGCAATGATGATGAAGATGAGAAAAAGTGCAGCCATGCTTGCAAAGCCGCAAGCGGGTGGATGGTTCTTTGGGGGCACAGAGAGCAGTCAGTGCTGGCCTGTTCCAAGTCTCTTTGCCTCTGCCCACACCCTAGGGGCTTAACCCCCTGAGCCCTCATGCAGCTGAAAAAGCAGTCCTCCCTGTCCTCCTTCTCAGCAGCCGAGGACATCCTGCTGTTCCAGAACATTCCCACCAGTTCAACGGGCTGGTTCTCTGGGACCCGGCACATATCTCGGTATGATGTTCTTATATTAAGAGCCTCCAGCCAAGAGGTCGGTGCTTAAAGAGCTTGGCCGTGCTCCGGACTCTTGCTTAGAGTCTGTTCTCTTGACCTGTCGCGTGTCAAAATGATTCTGTCGTCCGGGAGCCACCGGCAATGACATAAGAAGAATATAATGGCCCCTGTCTTCACTGTGACATCGTTGTCTCTATCCACCCAATAGAGCTGAGGGGGCTGGGACAAACAGAAAGCCCTCTGTCAAAAACATGAACCACTCCCAATGCACACAGTGTCTATGTGTCTATTCCCTGGTCTCCTGCTACAGTCCCCTCCCTGTATTATTCCTATTAAAATGGCCCCCTCCTCCTCGCTGTTCCAGAGGTCACTCATTCCAGCCGCTCACGCTCCTCTCCAGCACTAAAACGCTGCCTTTGTGCAGGATGTGGCAGCGCCTGGTACCCACAGTACTACCAGGGACACAAGGCCTATTCTCTGCTCCTCACAGCCCGAATTGTCATGGCGATAACAGCCTGCCCCCATCCCCCCACCACCCTCCACTCCCTGCACCCAGTCAGACACACAACTGTCCTTCTCTTTTCTTTCCTACTCTAGGCATCAACTGGCTCTTTTATATCGTTCCTGTGGAATCTGGGAGCTGTGCATTCCGACCCCACTCCTGGCATTCCCAGTGCAGGCCTGCACCGGCCCTGGGCCATGTTCAAAATGCATTATAGCACAACAGAACGACACTCTGGAGAGAGACAGCCTTCCAACACACACACAAATTAGACACGGCTGGACAAAGTATTTTAACTTAATCTAGCAGCATATCATTTCAGAATGTGTAAATGTGCTCATGTCATAAGTCACTGATATGGAAGTAAATCTGAGTCTTCTGAGCACCTCTCCGGAGATGTGGCAGTGTGTGTCTGGTATATGAATAAGTGTCCTCAGAAAATGAATGCAACCATTGCACATTTTCTGCGTGGGATTATCTTTATAGGCAGTACATTTGGTTCTGTAATATATGGAATGAATAAGAGTGTACAGCTGTATTGTCAAGGCACTTCTTAAATGTGGAACACGGAAATTTCGATTATTGTATATTTAAATGATTCAGCTTGTGCTGATGTAAGAGCCTGCCACTGCATAGGATCAGCACAAGGGAGAGGAAGAGAGGCCAAACCAGTTGGGAGGTTTTTGCCTTGCTCTCAAGCATTAATTTCCTGTTCTTTTTCAACATCACGTCATTAACACAAAGTGTAGGCTGCTGCAAGAGGATGAGGAAGAGTGGGAGGAAGAATAAGTGCGGGATCCGGCGCGGCCGTGACCAAGCCCTTCTCAGTCTAATGGGAGACCCAGCCCAACCTCTCCCCTATACTCGCCCTGCAACACCTGGACCAATCGCACAGCCGTAACCATGGACAACTGGAGAGAAGGAGCCCATTGGCTGCCTTGCTGATGGTTCTTCATCCAATCCCCTGCCTGAGCTCCTATTAGGGTTCCTCCCCCCGCCCCCTCCCAGATGCTCCACACAGACAGTGTGCATGAGTCACAGAGTGAGCATCTTACTCACACACTGCTTCGCACACATACACATACATCAGAGCTCCTACTCAGACACAGTCAGCCATTCAATCTGCTGTTTACCTTTGAGCACAAAACCCTGAATGATTTTCATTGGAATTCGGACAGATCTGGCCACATTTCATGTCAAAAGAAGGCATCAATTATTCACAGCCTTGCCAAGCCAGTAGAAAAATGCCTTATGAAATAATTACATACTTTCTGTTTCGATATAACTGACCCCAAGACAGCCAGAGTGAGGGACAATCTCCGCTTTCCCGATCTGCTTTTCACATGGCTGCCTCATGCCATGGTGCAGTCCAGCGGGCCAGCCTCCCTACGTTATGCAACAAACAGATGTGCTTCCAGCTCCCTGAGGCAGCCTGCTCTCTGCTCCAATGGTCACTGCGAGAACGCAAACAACGCCACTGCTCTTTTTCCATACACGGTCCCAGCAGGCCAGGACAGAGGTCCTGTTCTTCACCGTCAATTAAGAGATGCAGTGCCACCGCCAGGCCACACAACACCAGTTTAGTGTGCCACTGCTACATACTGACTCACTATTGTTCTCAGCTAGACCGGAGGTAGCTGAAACATACAACGTAACAATGGCCGTTACATTCTGTATCAGTTAAGCTCCACGCACAAGAAAACCTACACAGCACTGTAATGTACTGGAGAATGTGGATGGTAGGGGTGGGCAAGATGGTAGTTTATTGTTATCACAATAAATTAAGTCATGATGGTCTTTCACATCACAGGAACTGTCAGTTATTCTAGAACACTGGCCAAGTGCACGCTACATAAAAAGAGATTTAGACCAACAGCCTGTAAACAGCAAACAGCAATGTAACACTGTCCAATTAACACTGCATAGTAACAAGGATGGGTAACACTACAGTATGAGGGAACATCATAATGGCCTTACTAAGCCTTACCAACCAATAGCTGCTAGTTATCTCACCGCTTATTACTAGTTTATTAAGCAGTAACAAGGGTGAATAAAGCATTTACCAGCACACTTTCATTTGTGTATTATACATCATAATTGTAATAATGTTAATAATAATAATAATAATAATAATAATAACAATAATAATAAAATCTTTATTAGGCTCTAACTAGAGTGAATTACACATTTTTTTCTAAGCAGTGGCATTTTCTTTTCATTTCAATTTTGTAGGAGCCATTTTAGAGCCATCTTAATTGCCAGTGAGTCAAGCCTCAGGCATTTTATATTCAACAGCATTTCCATTATGGCTGCTGAGCCATATTAATAAGTACAGACCCCATGCCCATCTTTTCCACCTTGGAATTGGGGGTCACTTTGTCTTTATTTAGAGCTAAGTGGTAGTTTACTATATCATCATACTGATGAAAATCAAATGAGAATACCAACAACTAAAACAACAAACCAAGATAAAAAGTTCTAATGAGACACAGTGTAACTAGTTAGGTATTTCATTACAGAGTTCATTAATAAATACATTTCACAAAGACCCAGCGGGTCATGCACAAGAATGCGATGTGTAATACACAAATAAGTGTAATCTCGAAAATGTTTAATTAAACCTAGCTGTTAAATTCATAATATGCAGCCAGTTAATTAGCATCTGCTGGTGTGATAAGGCTTAATAAGAGCATTACAAGCATATTATAGTGTCCCCCTGACATGAAGTGTTACCCAAGGATGCTATCCCATTATGCCATAATCTTATATTGTACCAGTTGCTTGTTTTCCTGTCCCTTATTACCTTAAAATCATTGTACTGATGGATTTTTTTCCACATTTTTTGGCTACTGTTTTGCTGATGCATTGTGCCTGTACCTACTTGCTAACAAAACTCAGAACTATATTATGCATCGTGCATCATGAACATGTCTTCAATATCACAATATTATATTTCTACTGTATCAACTACATATGCATGGTTTTGCTTTTACTCTGGCAATAAGATATAGCTCACAGTGATGATCACAGTAAGATATGAAAGACCACAGAATGAGTGTTATATGCATGTATGACCACATGTACAATTGTATGTACAGGTGTATTTAATACACAATATTTCAATATGTTTGCTTTTGTAATGTAAATTTCCCATAAGGGATAGGGCTGGAGTAAATTCATCCAAATGCTCACAGCACAGAATAAAAACACTTACTGTTTGGTTAGATGGCTCCTTTGCATATTGTTGCAGCCCATTTTTTCAGATTTTTGTTTTTCTGCATCATTTGAGCTCAGCAGCTCCCTTTTACGTTGTGTTAAAAATGATGAGTGGATCAATGAAATAATCCAATATTCTCTTTATATTAATTTACATTAAAAGCACACAATGAGCCTCGTTCACCAACTATTCTTAGGAAGACGTTTCTTCTTAAAACCCAATTATGCAGTTTTCACAAAGATTCTGACATTCACCATGTTTTCTTAATTGGGATTTGTTCTTAGGTAAGAACAGAATCTACACACTGAAGAGCACAAAGGTTTGAACAGTTTTGCTGTGTAAGAACATCATAAATCTGACGTAGACTTTTTCTTAGAACCTTTCTTAAGAACAAATTTAAGAAAAAAACAGGACGTTAGTGGTGAATGAGGCCCAATGGTTTTGCCTTCTCCTGTAAAGTTGCCAATTTGGAGATTTTTTTTTTTTTTTGACAATGTTATGACCATCTGGATAGGCCAATATATTTCAATATGTTGTTCAACCATAATCAAAGACAGTGAGTCAGTTCTATTCAAATAATTTCCATTCAGTTCGGTTAAGACTAGAAAAAAGCAGTGCATTTTGTTGTAGATTTAGGGGTGAACAAAATAAGCTTTATCAGGATGTATTTATTACTTTCAGTATATCAATATCATTATTGTGTTAATGTGAGAGGTTACATAAGCAACAATGGCTGTGTGTTCCATCCCCTCCATGATTGTGGCTTCTTCCTCTCATACTGCCTTATTACATCCTGTTTCGAGGGGAACTGTAGTTTTTTACTTTATTGTTGCTTTTGTTAACTTGCTGTGCGTTGACTTGTCCACAGATCTCCTGCAAGCACTCCGCAGCGTAATCTACCAAAAGCATCCTCTGTTGCTAATGTTACTGGTATTTCCAGCATCACCGGTGAGTTTTGCTTGTGAATGATACTTCAGACAAGACGTACTTCAGTGATGAACAAATTCACTGTGGCAGGAGCTGAGAAAAGCTTTGGCTTTATTAAGAAATCCCAACAGCAGCAGAGTCTAATTACAACGTGTGAGCTGGGCTTTAGGCTGTTTAGGCTGGATCTACAACAAGGCTGAAGTTGACTTATTCGAATTTGCAGTTCCTCCTTAAATAGTGCAGCACCGTTTAAAAACTGTTGCCCCATTTATGGTGCAATGGAAAATTCAAATATGAAGCTGGCAACACTTAAGCTTTGCTGAACTACGACTGGCTCTAATGGTCAAAATAGGAAAATGTGATAATGGCGTTACAAAATAGTGTGTTAACTTCTAACACTAATAATTAAGACATACGATGCACATCAGACTGATCTACACGGTGTTCTTACTTGATCTACCTGGTTGTTTGGCCACAGGCAGTGAAACCTCAGTCAGGGGCAGGATGTAGACGTCCGGGCCGTCCTGGGAGCCAGGGGAGGCCAGAGTGGACAGGTCAGCCTGGTACTCCTCACCTTCAGTGTTCTCAAACTCCTGCACATGACAAACAAACGTGAAGACTAGACTCTTAAAAAAGAGAAAGAACCCTTTAATCATGCAAAGGGTTCTTTGAGTGTTCATGGTTCTATATAGAACTATTTTCTGTACTAAACCTTTGAACCCTTGAAGAACTATTTTTGTCAAGAGTGTAGATTTGAAACAAGGTGTGTTAAATTCAGGTCCTGGAGGGTGACAGTGCTGCAGAGATAGGTGTTTTCCCTCTGCTAACATGTTGTATTCAGTCTACAA